TGAGGTCAGGAGTTCGAGACCAGCCTGGCCAAAATGGTGAAACCCCACCTCTACTAAAAATACAAAAATTAGCTGGGCCTGGTGGGCACTTGCCTGCAGTCCCAGCTACACAGAAGGCTGAGACAGGAGAATCGCTTGAACCTGGGAGGCTGGGGTTACAGTGAGCCGAGATCACACCACTATACTCCAGCCTAGGCGAGAGTGAGACTCTATCTCAAAAAAAAAAAAAAAAAAAAAAGACAGATACCTGATGTGGTTCAGTGCAGAAATAATATTTTCAAAGCAACAGCAGAAACAGATGAATACTTTTTGCCACATCAACTAAGTATCATATTACTTTGGGGAAGTTAAGGATTCTATGAAAGCTAATGACCTGAAGTTAAAATGGTGAGAGGCTCACTTTGAAGTATCTGGAAAATTTACAAATGGTCTCCTGTTCAGTAAAGAAGAAAGAAAAACCAGTTTGTTTAAATTAATGCAAGAAGAACAAAGGCAAATCTAGCTTAGGCTATAAATTGTTATGATTTGACTTTCTTTTTACGGTGAAGTTAAAATGAAAATGATAACCATGCCTTGTAATCTTAAACTAGAACTTAAGGGCACACAATATAGAAAAAAATTTCTTTGTCCATGGCCCAACTTTAGAAATGAATCCCTTGATGTAGCTGCTATTTAAATAATGTATCCTTTTGCATATTTGCATGGAGTGATGTTTCAGTTTTACAGGCATGCACAGGACAAACAGGATAGAACAGTATACATAAACATGCTTTATAATTTGAATATGGTGAAGAACAAGGTTTGATGAAACCCAGTTCTATAATTTTACAAACTTATAATGCAGGATACCTGACCACCTCATCTGATACGCTAATTAATACAAGATAGCTCAATTTTAGCAAGGTGACCACAACCAAATGTGAACCTCTGGCCTCATTCTTCTGTTCCCTGCAGCCTTCCATGGTTCAATTCTTGGCCCTGTGCCTTCCACCAACATCAAGCGAAGCTGCTAATGAAAAGCGGCACACTGAGGGCTGGCCCATCTACTTCTCTTGTTGCTGCTGCTTTGTCAAACTAGTATAAGAGATTTTATGGCAGATGATGTAGAAGTCCATTCCCTTTTTTTGTTTTGTTTTAGAGACAGGGTCTTGCTCTGTCTCCCAGGCTGGAATGCAGTGGTGCCATCATAGCTCACTGCAGTCTTGAACACCTGGGCTCAGGCGATTCTCCCACCTCAGCATCCCAAGTAGCTAGGACTACTGGTGTGCACCACCACAACTGGCTTAGAATTCCATTCTAGTGGCTGGCCCTGGGTTCCTCTGGAACATCCTACATGCGGCACACATGCAGAGCATCTTCGTGCAGTTTTCGTGAATGGAGGGGCAGCAGATGCTCTCCTGGAGGTTCTGATGTACTTATCACAGGATAAACAGATTGAATGAAAGCAATGCTACATATCTGACAAACCTCAACTCCGGCAGTACTGAACAATCCCAAGGAACTTGCAACTGTCACAATATGACCATGATTAATCTCCAGCATCGTAGGAAGAAAAGCCTTAGTGGTCTGAAACAAAGTAAGATTCAAGTTTTAGAACTGATGTCATGAATTTCATCTAAAACACAATCCAGGATCACAAAACCAATTTTTAGCCACATGATGTCACGTTTCCCAATTCCTTTAAAGATATTTTACATTTATCAAAAAGAAGATCTTTTAAGTGTCTGACTAACTTGGCATGGCAAGCCTATTATAAGTTGTGACCAACAAGACTGTAACATAAGAGCTTTTGGGGGCACTGTCTAGAGATGAAGAGAGCTATTGGCAGAAGGTTCTTAATCACCTTTCAAGTACAGTTATCTACTAATTTAAAGTACTCCCAGGCCAGAGATTTGTTTCTTCTCATGACACTTCAGTGCAGCTATCTCATGGTTTGTGAAGGACCACAGCCTGTTACAAACAGGTGCCTTGTATTAATGTGTGCCTTACAGTGATGTCTACTTAGTAATAGACCCATCAATGAAGAGATACGCCAGCAGCATGCTCTAGGGTCCCAAGGCTTATTACCAAAGTGTACTAGCAGGAAACAAAGTATTTTACGATGTAAAAAACAGGGTAAATTATAGAACTATTTTGGTGAAAAACATGTCATAATACTAACTGTGCACTGACAAGAACGTGTATCATTCTGAATAGTCACATTCCAATATGGGTTTCACTGCAGGGACTCTGCCATAGATGCAGGTGACTGGCCACACAGGGAGGCAGAGTGTGTGGCACAAAATCAGAGGTGGCACTGATTTCTTATTCACTAAACTCTTTTTCTCTCTAGCTCGCTTGCCTACAAAATGCAAGGGTGTATCAAAAAAAAACTTCAAATTGCTTACGATGATCTATTAACTACTCTACCAGGCTCCCAACAGTTTTATAACCTGCTTCTTAAAAGAAAGCAGCAAAGAGCAATCTGTCTACTGCTGAGTTATCTCCTACTGCCAGCACAGCTTCCCATGATTTATGAAGTTAAAAAAAACCCACACAACCAAACACTACAGAGCAGACTTAAAGAAGAGCTGCATTCCTGTCTCATACGATTTGCTGGCTAAGGTAACACTGAGTTTCTGCATGAATCTAATTTGGGTTTGTAGTTTTTTTTGGCGGTTGGAGGGGGGTGGAGAAACAGGGTTTTGCGGTGTTGCCCAGTTTGGAGTGCAATGGCATAATTATAGCTCATTACAGCCTCGAACACCTGGGCTCAAGTGATCCTTCTGCCTCAGCCTCCCGAGTAGCTGGGACTACATGTGCATGTCACCATGCCTAGCTAATTTTTAACTTTTTTTAGAGAAGGGGGTCTCACTATGTTGCCCAGGACAGTCTTGAACTCCTGGGTTAAAGTGATCCTTCCATCTCGGCCTCCTAAAGTGCTGGGATTACAGGCATGAGCTACTGCCCTTGCCCCTGTCTAATTTGTTATAATTTTTGTGTGTAAAGATCAAAAACACAAATTCCATTGATTCTGATGTTTTTGTGTGCTCCCATCGATTATTCATATAGATGCCACATGAAATCTTTCGTGAAGTATCCCGAGGTCTTTCCCAGACACTATGTAGCACCCCACCTCAACTTACACCATCTGAGTTTCCTCACCAGTACCCATGAAATGCTTATTTTCACCTGTGTCTTTTGACGTATGAACTCTTCTGATAATCTATCCCAAACCCTTCCTATGTGAACCAAAGAGTAATATTCACCACGTATTTATATAGTCTGTCACACTTTTCAAAGTGCTTTATGTCGCTGGAGTCTCCTAATAATTCTTTATTGAAGGTAGTTAAGGTGTTAAACTTTATCTAATATTATTCTAGGCCAGCCTCACTTTGTCTATATTTCTCTAAGATGTTTAGTCAGTGGTTACTGCCATTCACCTTGACACATGATTATGTTTTATGGTATTTTGATTTTGATTGTCTTATACTTATTTGTCTGACTGTCCTAGACTAAGTTGGAAGACCCAGATCAGTCTTCCAAGTACTAAGGGAGAATTACTTTGCTACACTGAGACAGGCACTGTGGAGGAGAGCTAGTGCTACAGTTTGGATATCTCATCTCAATTGTAATCCGCAATGTTGGAGGTATGGCCTGGTGGGAGGTGACTGGATCACAGGAGTGATCTTTCATGTATAGTTCAGCAACATGTCCTGCTGCTGTTCTAGTGATAATGAGTGAGTTCTTGCGAGATCGGGTTGTTTAAATGTGTGCAGGCCCCATCCCCTTGCTTCCTCCTGCTTCGTGTGCTGCTGCACCCCCTCTGCCTTCCACCGTGATTGAAAGCTCCCTGAGGCTTCCCCAGAAATGGAGCAGAAACCTCTATGCTTCCTGTGTAGCCCCAGAACCCTGAGCCAATTAAACGTCTTTTCTTTATAAACTGCCTAGTCTCACGTATTTCTGTATGGCAGTAGGAGAACAGACTAATACAGCAAATGAACACACTTCTCATTGCTGCATTGCCCTAGTACACTGCTGAGGAAGAGACACATGTTTCAGCTTGACTGTATTTCTTTGTAGTAGTGAAAACAGAAAGAGTAATTATGACAGTAATTATTATTTTGATCTGTTACCAAAAAAGTAAAAAACTGGTACTTCAGGTTATTATGGGTTCAACTTGAGGCTCTGTAAGTTATACATGGGTATTATATCACAGGATTGAAATAAAGTAACATCACAATTGAGTTTATATGTTCCAATCTAAACTAGAAAATAGCAGCGCACAGTGGCTCACACTTGTAATCCCCAAGCTTTGGGGGAGGCTAAGGTGGGAGGATCACTTGAGTCCAGGAGTTTAAGACCCGTCTAGGAAACATGGTGAAACCTGCCTCTACAAAAGATACAAAAAAATGAGCAGAGCATGGTGGTGTGTGCCTGTAGTATCAACTATTTGGGAGCCCGGGAGGTTGAGGCTGCAGTAAGCTGTGATTATGCTACTGCACTCTAGCCTAGTTGACAGAGCAAGACCCTGGCTCAAAAAACTAGAAAACATATCCTTAAGTAACCAAACCTCTATGTCTTTTTAAATATATCTAGTTATGATTAATTGTTCCCAGATTAGCTAAAAAGTATAAAACATATTCTTTCTTGGAGTATATTTGAATTCAAGTTGCCAAAAAACAACAACAAAACATATTCTCGACATTAACCAGAGAGACATTAACTAATTTTTTAGTACTGAAAATTTACCTAGTCTTGGAAGACAGTGATAAATTTAACATAAAGGGTCTTAGTTATCTTTCTGTTTAAAAGTTAAAGTATAAGGACTCAATATTAAATCCTAAGAAATTACATCAAATTATATCAAATTCCCTACTGGGATGTCTCATGGAAAAACAAAACAAAACAAACAAACAAAAAATATCAAATTCCTTTTAGAACCTGCCACTTGGTTACCTGACAAATCTGAATCACTCGCTCACGTGTCCACTCTAACTCAAGCCAGTGGCTGGCTCTGACTAGAAACTCAGATACCACAGCAGGTTGGCTCTCATGACTTCCCTGTATTCACGTGCTCTGGTCTTGCCTGCAGGTGTTAAATGACTAATCCAGATCCCCAGCACCACATCAAGGTAGGTGACAGAAGATTAACAAGTTCCTAACTGTTCTTTAAGTGTAATTTGTTGCAAGGTTCTGAAACTGATTAATGTCCCCTCCCTTTTTTGCCCTGAAATGAATTGGTGGTATTAGCTTAAATAAAATAGTTCCAGTTTGCCCATAAGGAGGGTACGTTGGCTGCATATTCCAAAAAATGTGATTTAGGGAAACACTTCCCGCTGTGGGATCCCCCCGTGGAACCCTCCCCCCACCCCCAAGTTGTTTGAAAAGGAGTTAAGTTACTGCTTTAAAGGAAAAGGAAACAAAAAAAGGGCGAGGGGGAGAGACAGAGAAATAGGAGGCAGGTAAGTAGGGAGAGGAAGGGAGAAAGAGAAACCAAACAATCCAGGTATGGCTATGTGAATAAAATCTTTTCCAATTGTGGGCTATAAACATTTGGGGAAATATGTTCCAACTTTAAAGACTAAAGTATGACACAGGTTAGCTGGTTGTAATATGAAGCTTTCTTTTGAGAGGGAGATTATTTGTTTTGTTTTGCTTTCTTTTGTAAGCACAGGTGGGTCAATATTCAGCTTAAAACGTGATTTCTTTGCCTAATCAAGGACAAATTTGGCCTTCTGTATAAATTAAATCTAATGTATCTTTGCATTTTCTATATTTTCAGACAAAGACCCATATTCTTTATTTGAAAGGCTCACCAATTACAGGCAACACTGTAATTACTGTAACAGCAACTCACAACATCAACAACCACCAAAGAGCTGTGGAGGGAACTGAGAGACTAAGAAAGCTATCCAGGGCAGCTAATCAGAGATCCCAGAGGGCTTGTTTCTAAAGCTGGTGTCAAACGTTTACTCAGCTCTGCTCTGGTAGAGCAAAGGCAGAGGCTTGGGGTGGGAGCACCCACATGAGGACCACTTGGGTTTCTTTTAAGCCTGTGCTCAGGTTCCTGCTGCAGCCCAGTACACGTGACTGAGCACGAAGGCTGTTAATCATTTCCTTTGCTGCCTGAATAGAGGTGAGCAATTACTCCAAACTCCTGCCTTATGTCTGGGGCGCATTATTAAACAAACTTTGATCAACATGAATTCTAGTCCATACTTTGCAAGAAAAATGCTATAGTTGGGTGACTAGAAAGCATCACATTTTCAGGAATTTTCCCAAGTAACCTGACTAGTTTTCTTTTCTAATTACTCTTGCCCTCAACAGTCTGGTAGATGACATTTGAGATAGCACAGCATATTCTGTCCTTGACACTGCTTGACAGCACAAAGAAATCTGGCACTTTGCAATGAATTATTAATGTGCACAAATATTGTAGCATGTATGAGGTAGAGACCAGCAAAAGGTGAAGTGCTAGTTGCCATGACACCAGTCAGTTCAAGCAAAGGTTCATAATCTTTAACTTTGTCTCAAAGAGTCGTCAGAAGAACATAAAGGGCAAATCTAAAACGCACACCCAAATGGCTTAGGTATAAATTCGTGCCTGTGAGGCATGGGCAAATCTCAGAGGGCAGCACGGATAATTCTCTGACCAACAGGACTGCTGTGTTACATCAACTATGATGATGGTCTGTGTAGTGCAGCAGTTACCACCTAGTAAAGGGGTCACTAAAGGCACTAAATGTGATCAGTCTCCAGAGCGAGCTAGTGCCCATGCTGGCTGGCAAGATTTCCTAGATGCTAAATGTAAGTCAGAGAACTGCACTCTATTCCTGTGTCCTCTTGACTGTCTAAATACAGAAGAGGACATCAAACTCTTCATCAGGAAAATATGGTTGACTCTTGATCTAGGGGGTTTCAAAGTCAGTAACCAATATGTGAACCAGAAAGTTTACAGAATTTCGAGTTGGAAGGGCTTAGGGATTTTCTTATTTGCAAAAGAGAAAACTTTCAATAACTGACTTTGGTTATTAAAAGTGGAGCTAGAACTTTGATTACCAGGATTACTTAGATCACAAGATTCCAATACTGTAATCTGCTACCAGCTGACAGGATTGCTGTATGATTAAAAAGAGAAAAAGAAAAAAAGGAAGGACATTCAAATGGACACTGACATTCCTATGAAACATGCTTAACAAGTCTAATATCTCCTCAGCTCCTCAGGGTTCCTCTTCAAAGCACTGGGCACTTTGAAAGATAACTGTAAAGGTCACATTTGTAATATAAGCAAGAACTTCTTAAACAGACATGTAAGTAACTACACATAGACATGACATGTCATAGCTCGAGAAATCTTTTAAAGTGAAGTTTACGCCAAATTAACTTCCAACAGCTCCGACTCTCCAGACCATTCTTGGTACTCTTAATGACAGACTGTGCGGCCCAGAGCCTGCAGCTGCAGTGTCAGGACAAATTAGCCTACAATGAAACAAAAGTCAACGTGAAGAAATGTGGTATCCGGCAAGGTCTGACTTTTGAAATTCTGAGATTGATGACAGTTTAAAGGTGTAGGTGAAACAGAATGTGTTTTCCATTTTTGTAAGCAATTCTAGGTTCCTGAGCACTCAGAGGAAAACAAAGATAATTTCTCACAGTAGGAGAAGGTCTCATTATTTTTGTGCACATACATGGCTGTCCTGTGATCAATTCAAGAAAAGGCATCTTTTAAAAGAATCATTTTGAAGTGTTTACCTCTTATTTGCAATGCAAGAAGGAGAGTAGACATTCATTTCCAAAGTGGACCATAAATCGCCTAATGCTGGGAAAAAGATCAACACCACCAGCACAGTACAGTTTTCTCATGTATGCTTAAGGATTTTCAGAATCCCCAAATAATAGCATGATATAAACTTTGAGTGAAAAAGAACACCATCAAGACTCCACTGAACAAAGAACGTCTGTCCGGAAATGCTCATGGCACCCTTCACATGGTTGGACAACTCTCCTCTGCTGTTCCACCCCCTCTGCCTGTGTGGCTGCCAGAGTTAACTTATCTTTATCAGAATCGCAAAGGAACACTCTCCGTTATTTACAAGGCTAAAATGACATCTGGTGGTGCTCTTCTCTGAGAACTCAGTCACTGTTCCTGGAAAATGATTCAAAAGCACAAACTTTTACAGGGCAACTGTAGGAGTATTCTACTGCATGTGTGTTTAGTACTAATTGCTGATGTTGCTCAAATGATACACTAATCCCTGTAGCCTCAGAATTTATTGTCCTGTGATCAATTAAAAAAAAAGGCATCTTTTAAAAGAATTGCTTTTAAGAAAGTGTTTATCCTAACATTCAAGAAAGAGTAGACATTCACTTCCAAAGAGGACCATAAATCCTGAAAGGCCTGAAGGTGCTTAAAACATAGTGAACTTGGCCGGGCGCGGTGGCTCACGCCTGTAATCCTAACACTCTGGGAGGCCAAGGCAGGCGGATCACCTGAGATCGGGAGTTCAAGACCAGCCTGACCAACATGGTGAAACCCTGTTTTTAAAAAAATCATTATAAAATCATATCTTTAATTAGGAAGTAAAACCTAAATCTGTATTTGCTAGCAATACCAACTTTATTCTAGTTGCAGCTAACAACAGAAATTCTAACATGCGTGTGTGTTGCATAATAGCCTCTTTTTCCTACTTGGGTCTGTTTGTAGAGACAGAAAGGTCCCCTAACCAATTGTGCAATAGAGCCCCAAGATACTTAAGCCTGGAACTGCTCTCTCAGACTTAACAAAATGTTCATCTTAATTTCTATCAGACTGAGACAAAACATTCACTCTTTAGATAACAGAGAGACTAAAGAACATGTCATAATAGTCAAATTTGTGCCAATGTTAAATCTATCCTTTTAAAAACATTTATTATTGTGAGCCACAGGGATTAGTGCAACATTTGAACGGCATCAGCAGTTAGTACTTAGCACACATGCACAAGAATACTCCTACAGTTGCCCTGCAACCAAGAAGCTAATAAAAGAGCCAGGCTTTTCAAATGAACACCTCAATGATGACACTATTAGTTATTCAGCAAAAATAAATGCTTCGTTAACTTGCCTTCCCCAGGTTAAAGGACAGGATGAATTTACCTCAAAGCAGCAACTCAGATATCAACAATTTCCTTACATTTTAGAGCTCACTATGCAGAAATACCAGAAATAAGGTGACTTAAAACTCCATTTGTCTGGAAAATACACTGACCTTTGGAATACAGAAACCCACTTGGTCCAGACTGCCAATTACCTAACCTTCCTTTTGTTACCTGAACTCTCTGAATCTTGACTGAACTCATTTGTGAGACAAAAGAGGAGATCTCCAAAGTTTTTTCATCTCAAATATATTACAATTTATAGTCAACAATAATTTTTCCAGTTCCTACCAGACACCCAAAATACTGAGGTCATGCTGAGGTATTTGCCTGAGACTCTCGTAAATGACTCAATAAGGGATCAACTCCATTAGTACAGTGGCCAGCATTGAGTGATCAGCAAAAATATCTCATTAAGTAGTTCTATGATGCCACGGCTGTGCCTTTTAACATAATGTAACTTGAATGTATGCCTCTTATCTACTAAAAAAATTACAAATTATTTGTGTGAAACAATCATCCTTTTCCGTGTTTCACTTGAGTCCATGGAGGCTCAATGTGTTAAACAATGAATGCTGAACACTCTTTCTGAAATGCTGTTTTCCCTGATCTTTCCCCTGCCAGGCCCTAGATAATCAAACAAGTGTTCAATGATCTCCTTCAGTCTCAGGCCCCTCCCCCTATTTAATAACTCTTTATGGAATAATGAAAATAACCCACAGAATTGCAGTCAAATAGCTTGCCAAACAACAGGCTGTCAAAAATCCCTTTGCGTTGCCCCAGACTCAGATTGCATCTCAGAAGTTGTAATAAAGACAGATATTCCAAAGGGCAGAGGCTTTGGTTCTGCTCTAGTGACCAGTAACTACTTCCATGACGCATAAACACATGCATGTGAGCTTAGCCACTGCTCAAGCCATCTGCAGTGGCAGACTTCTTAGTTCCTGTTCCAACAGCACAGCTCTCAATGTCCCCATGATCATCAACCCCTGTAATTC